TCCTTTAAACAGCAAGGCGGTGTTGGCGTTGCTGATGAAGTGCACATGGGTAATGCATATTCGAAAGCATAACTTTTGAGTGCAACGCTGGTAAAACTGTCTTCCGAAGTCCATATCAGTAGCCCATTCACAGTTTTACGCGACATATTTTGAGACTGCGTCCATATGTTTGAATGGGTAAAGGGCGATCGAGACTAACAATGAGTGCAAATATAGATGACTGTGAAAACTTAGTGTGAAAGGAACTGCAATCATTGTATCGGACCTCGATCTTCAATAAGTAATCAGCGCACGCTGCATTGTGGTCAGATTCGGCACAAACATCTTTTGCTCATGCGCACGCGACCAAATATGTTGCTATTTGTGCCAAAGCTGGAGCACTCGTATTTCAGAAAAGATCTATATGTACAATCGCCGTGTGGCAAAGGTATGGCTACCTTCCATCGATTCCGGCAAGATGGCGAAGGGAACATGAAGGAGACCGTTTCGACCTTTTCTGAAAATCGAGAAAAAAAATTACTGATCAAAAAATGATGACAAAATTGCTCGAGACAAAGCGTCTAAGAAAAAAAGGAGAATATAATGACCAATCGTAATCGGCTCAAGAGTGTTTTTACCATTTTACGTGCACTCAAGCGAGGCAGAGGCTCGGCACTAAGTCTTAAAGTGGCTAACCGCTTGTACCGCTGCCACTCCACTCCTCCATGGTTGGAATCRCACTGGCATAGTGTCTTTTTATTGCATTATTTGTGTTACAGTAAACAATTATCAACTTCAACCAATCAGTTTCCTTTAAAATCTTCACTGCTTTTAGATGTGTTGGGTTTCCTGTTCCCTCTACAGGAAGCCCGGTCGTAAACTCTTTAGTCAGTGTAGTTCTGTGGCGGATCGAATCCCAGTCAGAACAAATTTTTTTAGTCTTTTTTAATTGACGCAATTTAATGCAACTTTATTAGTTTATATTTTTGTTCGCTTTTATCRAAAACGCATTTTCATCTCGATGATTTGATTGATTGATGGCTGGACTGATTGATTGATCGCTGACCTCATCCATAGATTCGTGGGTAATATTAAATATCTAGTACTTCAACAAAAGTTACTTCACTTGTCACGATAGGGTCACGATATATATTATATACTCACGCGAAAAGAAGTCGATATCTAAAGAATTGAAAGGTGTGTGGCGGGTGGAGAAGGAATGTCAATTAATTGAATGTTAAGGAAACTGACCTTTTTATGTGATCAGTTCTGAAATTGTAAAAATGGACTAGATTTACCTGATGTAGACAAAATAAGAGGCGTCAACGCCGGAATTAGGACGTATTTTTACCTTATGAGTCGCACAACTCTAATAGATGTCACAGGAACGAAAACGAAAATGTAACTATCATCRTCGAAAACCGTCATAACAAAATAGAAAATAGCAATTAAATAGAGAAAATGTATATTTTAATGAATTGCATAGTATTTTTTATATGCTTATAGTTCCTGTTTCAACGTTTTTGTTTGGTAAAATTTAATATAAGGAATTCCCCACCCACCCCTCCTAATGTGAAACATCTCTGCGTGGGGTCCTGTTCGTTGGAGTAAGAACATGGTCAGTCAGTTTGTGATCTTGGYAGCCGATTAGTTGAGCATTTGACTGCGTTGATTACTTAACCACTAGTCAAAACTACAAGTGCACGTCTTTATTGAATTGGACAGATTCAGAAGTGATCGTGCGTGTTAACAAGCTTGACTCTAATGAATACTGGAGGAGTTCTATTAATGACGAAAAGGACATCACACGCGACACTCTCCCATATTCTTTAGTTTGTTTACCATTTGCAGTTMAGGGTTCACTGGCAGAGCTAGTAAACAGCCAGATGGCTTCTTCTCTTCCAGAAGAAAATGGAAGATCCGATGAAGAAGATGACGATGAAGAACTTGAAGAGAAGTATCCAGCGGTATCGAACCCTGAACCCGAAGGTAAATAATATTTTGCAATCGAGAAGTTTATCGATCACTGACGATGAAAACTGTGTGGATACTAAACGATTCTTTCAAGTTGTTCTTGAARTTATTGCTRAAATTATTGGAACTTTGCATTGAATTATACCGATYGCTATTGTAGATCTAGCCAGGAGAAAGTCTGATTCAAGAATAACCAAACTACGGCGAAGGATCTCCCAAGGTTTACGACTCTGTAAGCAAGTTGTCTTTCAATAATTATGCTAATTATGAAAATAATAGAATCTCGATCATGTGAAAAGTGTGGCAAGAGTAAAATCCATTGCCTAAATTTGGACTTTATTCTAGTGATTAGAATCAACTGTTGTGTGGTCGGCTTAACATGAAATACATCATGTTTTGGTTTCCCAATATCGACATAAAATATTTTATAAAATATTTAGGAGTTTCTAATGCACAATGTATTCGCACAATTGAGAATTTTTTTGTTGCTTCAGCATTTGCCAAAGAGGAAGACGAGGTCTTTGGAGAAAAGCAGAATATTAAGGTAAAATGCAAAATAATTGAAACATGTACACGAGCCATCGGTTGCTAAGTGTTTTATAATTATTTATAAATAATTAAAATCTGCTTAAAAGCGTCCAAAAGATACAATTTGTAAAATAGTGACTGCCTTATTCCAATGATAACGCGATGGTCAAGCAAATTACGATAAMTCGTCATATGGAAAAATTCTAAASCTAAGTTTAAAATGGCTAATGAAGAAATTTCTAGCCGTGTAATAYCCATTMATTCTAAATGCCCTAAGGACATTTCTCGTCGAGAGAAGCGATGAAATTACAATTTGCTGCACTATAGATACATTGGACAGTTACTAATAAAACGTTTATCAGATATTTTATTTTATATTGTTGACGTGCAAAAGTCTACATTGAGCTTTGAATACTAATAGCTTTTGCAAGTTTCCTATCCTAACAGATMAGCAGGTGTCAAGCTCAGAGAGCAAACTACATTGTACAGCCTTTATATCCGCCAAATCACCTGATAGTTTCGATCTTTAGCCGTCGGGATTTGCAACAACGTATTCACTGAAAAAGATTAAACTGTTTTTGTCCTCCCATTCTCTTCCTATAGTCTATTTTGATGATTGAACTTTGATATTATATGATTCATATGAGTAAAATGTCCTTATACATGACTACATTTTAGATTGTGCTTTTCTTTGATTTGCCATCAGCTGTTTTCATTCTTTTGATTGAATTTATTGTCAATTCTTGGCTATTAAACATAGGTCTTTCTAAATCTATTTGAAAAAATATTTATTTTGCTATCCATAATAACTCAGCAGGTGGTTCAAGGGAGGGAMAGAGAAAAAGTACAAACTTAAGCTATCTGTCAAATCTTCTTGCATTGACAGTCAACTAAAAAGATTAAAGAATAACTTTTTWTCTTCTATTTCCTGTCGTATACATTTTCAGTACTTATGTCTATGTTTTACTTGATGCAAATCTCAAGRTGAGTTTTCTACCTGTTTTTCTACCAAATATTTATTGTCTCTATGTTAATCATTCATCGCCTATATATTTTCCATCCAAATAATGATTTTTCCTGTATAACTATAAGATGGTTGATCTTAAGGATGTTTGCCTTTGTAAAACCTTGCTGCATCCACTTGAGTGGGGCTATAAAAGAGAGAGCTTGGTCAGCTAGACTTAAAAGACTTTTATACACTTGCAATTTTTGCAGAATTATTGTTGCGCGACAATTGAACTGCAAAAATTGCAAGTGTAAACAGGTCTTTARGCATCCATGTCACCATTATAACCCAAAAGGTCTCTTTAGAGGCAAACTCAAAATTATTATTTCTTAATCAAGCTATATAAAAAGTAGGTATTGCATGCTTTTATATTTGCAATTTTTGATATCTAACACGCACTCTGATTGGCTGACGATTGTGTTTATATCAGAGGACTGAGACATGGCTTACCAGCAAAATTTGTTTTTCACTCAAAAACGCAGAAAAATTTTATAAAAGAAATATAAAACGACTGCTTGTGTCTCTTTCCTGTGATATAAACACGATGGGAGTTAAAAAAACAAAAACACTTGAAATGCAAGAGAAACACGAACGTAGCTTGCTTCTCTCGTAGTTTTCAATTCCCACCATATATCAGAGGACAGAGACACACACGTTGTTTTATATTTCTTAAATCAAATCAAATTTGAAATCCAGTTTCTACCTATAAGTAGTCTTGTTATAAACTTCATTTAAAAAAAACGGTCTCAGGATGCCCTGGTCCAAGAAACTCAATTTCTTGTCAAAATATTAGCAAAGAAAAAATTAGAAAAATTAAAACACTGGAGCCAAAGTAGTCATTAAAGATCTATTTGAAATGAGCTCTTGCTCTAATGTTAGTGTGTTAGTTGCATGATACAAAAAAGAAGAAATATGATGGAGAGCCAATACAGAAGTAAAAGTGCTGAGTTGCAATAATGATAATGATTATGATGATAATGTTTAATGATAATAGACAATAGATTAAATACTGTCTGATGAGTGCGTAGCACGAAACTCGGAGTAACAGCAAAATMKTGCCTCTTTGATATTATATATATAACTAGCTCTACACTTTATGTGTATTGAGCACTCTTTAATGGGATCAGCTACTTCCTCATACAATGATAATAGACAATACATTTGTTCTTTTGAAAACTGGCAAAGTGGCATTATCAATGTTATTGATTGAAGGAAGGCACTGAGTGAGAGGCACTTCATTGTCATTMAGTAATATTTCCGTTTGAATTTGAACATTTTAATTCATATTGGGCATGTACATGGAATGACATTTCTCCAAAATAGCTGCYTCTCATTACCATATTTCTTTTATTAAGCTGTAGCAAAAAAACCCTGCAATATTAAAGATATAATTATTTTACATTGAAGTCTATGTCCTGAAGTATAGGCCATATATATCTCCAGACATGCATTTCCCTAGTATAAAAAAAAACGGTTTTGAAAAATTCATATCACTATGGATTTGGATTTGGAGTTTGCAAGAACTTTACACAGCATATAATTTAGGATTAGTTAGAAAAAAGATATTTTTGCAGTTGAGCCATTTTAGAGAAGCATCTGTTTGATATCATCACCTCATCATAAGTAAAGAGAAAATATGAATTAAAAACAAGTCTATAATGCATGAACATTTCTAAATATGGCTCCTCATGTGATGAAGTAGCAATTCTGAACGCTGTAAAATTATTGAGTTTTGGCGTTTTGTTATTCCAAGATTACAAAGAGTTTGTGGTTTGGAAATGACAATATAACTTGTGTAATCACACACACATGTAGAGCTTTTAAGAGTAGATTGGTATGATGACTTTTTTAAGGGGGTAACCACTATTTGCAAACAAATGATGGGTGGCCACATCTCAATARTGTCATTTATCCTTCTAGTACTATATGTATCTGATGTTTTCTGGCTTTCGCACGGTTAAACGTTCTGTATTTTGTATAGTTTTGTATATGCACAGCATAATAATACTGTCATAGATTAAGCCTTTTCAAGTAAATCCGGCGATTGTCGAGGGGGATATGGCGGGTTTGGATCAGTGGATCCGGGCATTTTTTGGTTCGGATTTTCGGTTTTTTTGATGGTTATAATGGATAATTCAGCCTGCGGATCGCTTAAAGGGTAAACGATGCGGAATTAAGAAACTTGTTGTTTTATTTTTGAACGGATTTTCGCAGTAGATTTACGGTTTCCAATATCCCTCCATGTCCCCCACCACGTAGTTCATTAAAATCTATTTACTGAGCTTCTTGGTATGGGGCTGAGTAAATGCTGAAATTATCAATCAATCTTCCAACCAAACCTTCAATTTTTGATAATATTTTACAATGTCATGATTGATTAATAATACCGTACAATTTCCTTTGCAGACTAATAACGTATATAGGCCAAATATCCTATCAGAGTCTGACGTTGAAGACCAATCCAAAAAGACCCCAGTACGACGCACTGTTTCAGATACTGTCGGCAACAGGTTACGTAAAATTAGCAGCTTTCTTATTGACAGTAGAAGGCACTCTGAAGAGTTTACCCCTGAGGAATTTGAGAGTGCATGCTCGCAGGTGGGTTGCATTCTAGTGTGTAGTATAATATATATAATACATCGTATATTTTAGAAATGAAAGAAAGTTATAGTGCTTAGAAGGAGGCGATTCCGGGAGAAAGACCCTCGTTATGTATTTTACCCTATTGAGATGTCGCACTCTATATTTAGAATGCACCGCYCTTCTTCTACTAGYTTCTACTCGATTTTGAAGATAAGTGTTCTTTTTTTCATCTTTTTTTTCTCCCACGCGCCTTCTAAATGCAAATTCTTAATATTTKYATTTTTTGTTATATTTTTCTCAAATTAAGCTTTTAACTTATCTGGGTTTTTTATATTTATTCGGTTGCTAATGGATCGTCATGTTTTTAAAATGGTTTCTTCTCGGGGCTAACATGAAGTTTTAACCACGCCTAAATCTCTTTCTGTATGGGGTAAAGCCAGTCACCCTGATCCCGCCGGGTCTAATTATAATGATTCAAAGATCACCGATTATCTTCCTAAGTTGTTATTTTATTCTTATACGATAGCATGATTTACTGTTTCATCGTTTTTGATATATTGCCTATTAGAAACACTAAAACTTGTCATATATTAATTCTTCGTGACTTGGCGCTATTAAATATGTTATTTTTCTTTCTCTATGGTTTCGTAGCTCCCTTTTCGTGTTCATAATTCCTGTTATAAGAGTCTAAAAGTACAGTTAGAATATTTTCAAGGGCACGTCAAGTAAAAATCACTTGAATAGCAACCATTTTCCTTTCATTGGCTATCTACCAATAACACAACGTTCAGTTCAAGACAACATTAGATTGATGTCTCGTCCATTAATGCTTGCCTATGTTTACGTGAGCTCCGGATGTCTTACCGTCTGTTCGCATCATTTTTTTTTTGTTCAAATATTAATGTTATGCGGTAAAATCTTATTGATTATCCGTCTTCAGTGGAAATGCACCAGTCCGCTATCGTGAAACAACGACAACTAATTCAGTGCTGGCGCGCTCACATCTGCACATAAATTTATATCAGAAGTTGAGGCTAAAAACCATGTTTAGTTTCAAGCGATACGTGGAGGTTAGTACTTTGGTTGCTTCTATTTTTTGTTACTTCTCCTGCATTTTTTAGCAGTACACAAGGGCTATTGAAKTTCAAATAGGAAAATTCATTCAAAAGCTTAATTTTTATTACTAAATMCACTACTAGAATTATGGTATTAATAGTGGCAATGTAGAATACGTATGTCAAGTGCCTGTTTTATGGATTGACCTTACAAACTTGTTTATTTTTTCTCATTGTTGAYGCTTAAGCCCAAGTAAAGGTTTGAATGGACTAATATAACTTGCCTCCAATGCTACTTTTGCGTTGATACTACTATATCAAAACTCCTTTCAGATCTTTACATAGAATGGTCCGTGTTCATCGAGTACAGTTACRCAAATTGACACACAAACAGTAGTCATTTTTACTACAAGATTTCTCGCTTTTCGTTTTAACACTCTCCAAGTCAACCACGTATCTTGAATTATTAAAGCTGATAAACTCAGTCATGTGGGTGTTAAAAATATTTTGAAATTATTTCGCTTCCAGAATTTTAGTCGGGTATGAAGAACAGGTCCTATAGTATCAAGTTGTCATATCGTACAGGTTTCCTGACGCTTTTGGTTGTGATACATCATGTTTTAACGAGGAAGGACCAGATATGTGTCCAACCAACCAACCTTTGTTTTGGCTCTAAAATCATTTAAACTCCATGTGCTTRATTTTGACTCAGTAGTCCGGTAGTGTGAAAAGGATTTTTCAAGCACTCTTTTTCTTTCTAGTTCTTATCAATTRAATTTGTTTGTTTAATAAAATCACCAATGTCGGTGATCATATTGATAACCACRCTAAATGCAGTATATTAAACCGAATTGTTTTTATTATATTAAGAAAACCGTCTCGGGCTGTACATTGTAAAATATGGCACTTTGGCATTATTCAGGTTAAACCAGCTTGTAGCAAACGGTGCCAGCATGTATGATAAAGGATCTTCCTCCATAGTCAAAATTCTATAAAAGTACAGTTTATTTTCATRATACATGTAAACAAAGCTACGTTTATTGCATTCAAGGGATAAATGTTTCAAAGGATGTGCTTACTGTTTACAGTATACCCATAGACCTTTTCGGTCCTGCAATGTTTCGTTCCATCACCTTTTTTTGATTTTTTCATTCGTKAGAAATTCATCGCATCAATCTTTTTTGTAATATTATTATAAGGGAAAGGTGAAAATAAGTCGATTGAAAACTATTTATTTTTTTTTTCCAGCTTTGCTCTGTTATCGATAATATGTTGAATATCAAACATTGGGCTCGTGAAACCAGCCTCATTCCCAGGCCCTTTCCCTTGCGTGAGACGACATAGTATTAAACCCTACGTTACGTGCAACATTGCACCGAATTTGACAATAGGGACCGGTAATAAGGAAAATAACCTAGGATGATGACATAAACAAATTACAAAAGCGGATTTATGTGTGCAGAAAGTTGTTCTTGCCTTTCCTGTTATACACAATTGTAGCTAACTAGTTACATGCGAATCGCATCTTTACTAGATGGCGTGCGCACAATTAAGAACCTTTTCTTTTCGGTCATCCGCCGTCCTTGAAGACTCTGAATCTCCATTATGCAATACAAATTATTAGCATTTACCCTTGCTCATTCATTATCAATCGCATTGAATTCGACACTTGTGAAATAAGCCGTTTAAAATGGGGTAATGAAATAAAGTGCGCCCTGACACGAAGTTTTATTTCCACGTTTTTTTGACGTCGCATTCAAATAACAAGTTACAGATATTAAAATGTTTTCGTACGTAGGATTCATTATAAATACTAGGGTTTTGTTTCTTCTACGTGTGTTTTAATTTTCCGAGCTTTCGGACAACTTGTTCATCATCAGGGCAAAATGAAATTACAATGCGTGCGCGAGGATACAAATGTAAACAAAACACTATGGTAACATAACTGCTTAAGAGCGCACAATGGTTACAGATAGTTAAATAGTACTCTCGCCCTTTGATGCCCGCACAGAGAACCAGCAAGCCACTGGTATTAAATCAAATAAAAGGCAATGGATATTGTATTCTAAATAGCTTTTCAATGATTTCAAACGCGATTGYAACCATAATCTTTTGTTGATCATTGCTATCACCAGCCTCTGTCACCTTCTTACGGACGGCTGGAATCTTATCAGAAGCTTGAACCTCTCGGCGAAGGCTCGTATGCTACTGTCTTCAAAGGCATTTGCACGTAAGTGATATGTTACTTAATTCTTAGGAAAAGTATAGTATGATTCCAGGAAGCGCTTCTATTACTCCAGGAATTTACTTTTTTCGCATTTTGATGAGTGTACCGTCTCAAAGTTGGAAATGCCCAATTGTTTGTATTTTTGCGCAGCAGTACCCTCATGTACCTAGACTAGTTCTCATAGGGTTTGACCTTTATTTCCAATATCAAAATGCAACTGAGAACACGGCCGAATTTCTTGGTAATGGAAATCTTTCCGGTTATTGCGTGCACTTAATCACAGCCCCGATGTCCGCTGTAAAGTTCATTTTCAGTAATTTCTCTAGAGCGGGCAGTGTCCGTACTACGAGAGTGCCCGCATTACAAGAGTTGTSTGTACTGTACTCTCACTTTACCACTAAAATGATACTTTGATGTGTGTAGTAATAAAAGATGGCAATCTTGTGTAAAAATAACTGTTTCACCTGTAGTTTATACCTAAGTGTTTTGTTATCCATTTGTTGAAAACAGTTTTATCAYCAGAATCACATATGAATGTCGTTGTATCTTTAAGCGCAAATCGAAAGATTGTTGCTTTGAAGGAGATAAGACTACAAGAAGAAGAAGGGGCACCATTCACTGCCATTCGAGAAGGTAAAACGGCATCTGTCAGCTGTTACTTTTAGATTTTATTCATGCATTTCACTGATTGAACGTCTAGGAAGGAACCGGTTTTARAATGTAGCCGTGGGCCAGCCGATAAAATTAAATTTTGCTGATGAAATGCTGGCGAATTCTATGGTTATGATTCAAAGAATTTACATTATACGCGAGGGTTTTTAAAWATCGGTTCTTGATTCTTTGAGTTGTTCCAACCATGATGTAACGCGTGGTAGTTGCAAAAAAAGAGCCACTTTGAGATGTTTCAAGTATCTTTAAGAACCCACTTTCATCCGTCAGTTTTAACACGAATCAAAGTMAGTTTTATAAGCATTTCTACCTTTGAACATGACAAAAGCGGGTAAGGGACAATAGTTGAACTTTTTATATTTACATGGATGGTTGATGGGGTCGAGGGAGCCATAAATTATCATAAATTACCGATATCAGGTCTTCAGCCTAAGGTGAATAACAGTTACTGCATAATTCTTCATATCGCCGGATGATCAGATGGCTAATACTTCTTTGTAATATTTATTCAAACGAAAAAAAAACCGAGAATGTGAATTTTATTTATTTATTTAAAAACTATAAGCTCAGTGTTGCTTGAGAGCTCTAACTCAAAAATATGATGTACGATGCATGTRTTCAAAGTCCAAAAACACGAACAATTACTGTCAAGTCATTGAGAATACTTAGACAATTATTCGCGGGCGCATCGTATAGGCACACCACTAGTATTTTTACCTTGTTTTCATGCGCGCGCCTGCGATATTTTTGACAGGGCCCTCACGTCTAGGAAGCGCTCTGTTGATTGTGAGCACTCCGTCAAATATTGTATTTGTTATTGCTATGCATGGCTATAAATGATTTTTTGTACTATTGATGATTAAAATAGCAACGACTAAGAAACCACAGAAACACAACAAATAGTCAACTTTAGATATTTTGGTTCGATGACTATTTACTTTTGTTATGTAYAAAAGAACGCACACGAGGCTCCGGGAAAACAATGGATAATCTTGATTTATTCTTTTATTTCCCCGGAGCCTCGTCTGCAATTCTTTTGTGCATGGTCACTGAACCAAGATATCTAAAGTCGGCTATTGAGATRGGTTGACTAAACTGAGTTTGTTATATTGCAGCTTCTCTATTAAGACAGTTGAAGCAGGCCAACATAGTTAAACTGCATGACATAATTCATACGAAGGACACACTCATGTTTGTCTTTGAGTTTATYGTAAGTATTCAGCTGAATATAAATATGTTCTTCACTTAAACAAATTATTACGATTTCTAACCGATACTGCTGATATTTATTTGTTAGTATCAAAAATCCAATCTTTCCTAGTTAGCTAACGATATCTCACATGTCTACTGAGCAATGTGGGATTTGATAGTATGCGTGACAAAATAGAATGATTTGCGCATGACTATACTTTTCTAAATACGTTGCGACTATAGCTTGGCAGCTCTAGGGGACGAGGGGGGGTTAGGAGGGCTCATTTTTCAAAGCCCCAGACCCCCTTATTCCCCCTAGAGCTGTCATGCAGGCTATGCGATTGTATATATTCTCCCTGCATACTGAAGAACTGACAGTTGTTACTGAACTGTATATTATAGGACACCGATTTAAATAGCTACTTGGAAAAATATCCTAGAGGAGTTTGTCCAAATAATGCTAAGGTGAGAACTGAAATACTCCACACTACAGATAGCGTTGCTTTTCAAATMKGTTCCATCATAGTTAATGGAGGGGACTCTATTAACTATGGTTCCATAACGCAATATAGTTTTGTTCTTAGGTTTCTATTACTAAATTAAAACAAGGTTTTCTTCTATTTGCTGCCATTAACTTTAGTCAAAACAATTCCCCTTTTTGTAGATCTTCATATTTCAGCTGCTTCGAGGACTAGCATACATTCATCAACGGAAAATACTCCATAGGTACAGTGCTTTGATTACAAGTTGATTGTTTTATTAGTAAGACATTTTGTTGTTGTTTTCATGTCCCTGCTCCTTAATAATCAAARAAGAAAGCTTTTTATAATGCTAAAGCACTTTTCATACAATGCGTCTCATACGCGGGTCATACGAGAATAACTGTTTGTAAAGTGGCTTTTACGCCCTGCTCATCTACAAATCGCCTGAATGCGGACGCGGCCTCCCTTCTAGTAGAAACCAATCCAAATGCTATTACTGAAAAAAATGTTGTCGAAAGTGGAATTAAGTGACATCATATCTATTTTWACCGTGTAGTCATTTATATTTGCACTCTTCTTCCATAGGGATATTAAACCTCAAAACTTACTAATTAGCGAGAAAGGTGAACTTAAATTAGCAGATTTTGGTGAGTCATCGATAAAGTTATTGCAATGTATTTATGAACAGTTCCGACATATGGCACGTCTAGTTTGTCGAATCGATATTACAGGCTGCCTTCAAGGTTGTTTGTCATGYAGAGTATGTTTCCTGATTAAAAAGAAATGGTCAATTCAGTCAATTCAATTGCGGGAAATAATAAAGGAAAAGTAAATTAGATATGGATGAGGACCAGACAAAATAAAGGAAGAGAACATAATAAGCTTTTAGAAATGAAATAAGAAGAAAATTGTGATTCTTGATTTTGATAAGATAAAACACTGGCTTTTCCGCTGCTTTTTAATCTGTTGAGAGTTGTTTGGATGAGCCCTATTGTCTTCATTTCTTATGCTATATTTGATTTTAGGYTTAGCAAGAGCAAAATCTGTTCCAAGTCGGACGTACTCTAATGAAGTGGTCACCCTGTGGTAAGCYTTTGTTCATGAAAAACCGGAAATATTTGACATTTTTTATATAAAAATTAGTCACTGCCTGCGTAGATAGACAATGAAAATTACCCTTTTCCATATGGCCGTTATGGTTATTTTTTATACAATGACTGAGGTACTGAAAGAGGCTGACTATATGAATTGAATTTTAGACGAAAACACCTCGGCATCTTCTAGTTCCGTTGTTTTCTTTGAAATGTGCCAGCTTTGTTATACAAGAGAAAATAATAAAGGGCTTGAAAAGGATGCTAGTAAGGCGCCAAAGCGTCGTTATTTTCGCTTATGTGCAATTCTTGAACGTAGATTACTTGTATTGACAAATTGAGCGATATAAAAATTGCATGATGTCTTTTAGAGTGTGGACATAAAATCTAATAGTCGAGTTGTATAGATAGTCCAGTAGACACAAAAGCCGATTCCAATACAATCAGGGGATATTGATCGGTATTATGGTACCTTGATGCTTAGCTTCACACAAATTTGCGCGGCACGCACACATGTTTGGACACAAATTTTTGTCTTCGGTTGTGTCCGCCTCGAACGGATTTGTGGGACGACATGATTCTAAAAACTTATGTAGTTGCAAACCAACAAACTCAAMAAAAACATATTCCAATTCTTTAAGGTACCGTCCGCCTGATGTTTTGTTAGGATCAAAGGACTACACGACGTCTCTTGACATTTGGTAAGTTCCACTTCTAAATAGACACACTCCTTGAACGCTGATGGAAATATATTAGCTATTTTTGACTGAGACTGTACTTATTGACTGAGTGGGAGGGCCGTACGGGAAAATATATGGCTCGAGGTTATGCCGTACGGAACGAGCGCAGCGAGGTCCCTACAAATGACCGAGAGCCGAATATTTTCCCGTACTGCCCGACCTAACTCAGTCAAATAAGCATTTTATCATATGACAGCGTTTTTTAATGTAAAAAAATAAATGAAAGCGGGCGGAACTTCAAGCCGGGAAAATACGGGTTTGTACGGACCTGTAGCGAAAAGGCATCACGACCCCATCACGTGACCATTTCCCGAAGGTTTTCTAAGTGCGCGCGTAGGGCCGAAATACGGGTCGTATGATGATAAAATCTTTTATCTTAAACTGCGAGAATGATGAGGCGAACGGTTCAATTAATATGCACTTATGTTTTTTTGTGTGTGTCCGCGGTTAGCAAAGCGCGCACTGTGATTTTTTAACTCATTGTCCGTTTTTCACGATCGTACGATATACTGATATATAACGTATCCCTACTTATTTCGCATAATTGCTTGCTAACAAAATGTAATTTATCATTTAGGGCAGCTGGATGTATATTTGTAGAAATGGTCAGCGGTGTGGCGTTGTTTCCTGGWTTAAGAGATCACCTCGACCAACTGAACAAAATATGGCAGGTAATGCATCCCTATTAATCATTATAAGAGTATGCGAATAACCAAATTACGAGACTCATTGCGCATGCTCATACATGACCTCCGAGCCCATTGYCATAGCTAATTTTTATACGCATCAGTTGTGAAATAAGATAAATTTGAAGACCGTGATAAGTAGGTGAAGTAACTCAGTGACGTTTCAGACGTTAATCCTTCATCGGATTTAAGTCATACGCATCCGTTTTCGGGGATCTGTGTGGGTTACCTGTGTTATTGTGACAGGATAGACACGGCTGGCATTAAATTCACTTGCGTAGGCGCATAGACCTTTTCTGAGATACGAAATCATGGTGCATTGTGGTCTAGTTTCAGTACAAATATTTGGCCACATATTTGGCCACATGAACAAAAGATGTTTGTACCGAATCTAGACCACGATGCAAAGCGTCATGCTATTTCAGAAAAGGCCTATGGCGCAAAGATACAAGGTATTAGTATTTATATGGCGTTTATTTTCCATAGGTACTAGGAACTCCCAACGAAGATTCTTGGCCGGGCGTCTCAAAGCTTACAGAATATARTATAGGTGAGACAGTTTACGTTACCATCTAGACTTGAACGTCTAGGACAATAGAGCGCCTGATTTCCTGCACCAGTTCCAGTGACCAATTTCAATCCCTGTTTTACTTATTTCATTTAACTCCCGCAGATGCATTTCTGGAATACCCATCACAAAGACTTGGATATGCCGTACCAAAGTAAGATTTCTCATTATTGCACACTTATAGCACATGTGGTATTATAGTCCAAAACTAGTCTATTTAAAGACTTGCTATTACATAATATTGCGTTCATCTATCCCGGTATACTTTGCTACAGTGTTCATGTATATTTATCAGAGACTAGCATTTCTGTAYATGTTCCACTAATACGCAGCACTGCGAGTGTTATGGCTCTTTCATCGAATACGCGCGGTATTTTTCATTAATTCTTGAGCTAGGGACTTAAATATACCGTATATTTAAGGCAAAAATAATGATTTAGAGCAATTTTTTCACATTTGTCAATAGACTGATAGACATTCCTGGAGCTGAAAAATTGGCAGCAAATATGATACAAGTAAGTTTGTCATGAAGATTATGAATGACAATTTGATCTGATTCTACTCGAAATCCATCCTCTAGAATTAACTGTTGTTTCTATGGATACCCAWGTTTTTTGTGTATGTGTGAGTATGTTTGCTTTTTTTGCGGATGACTGATCCTAACACAGGCAGCCCATCCYTGGCAAGTTGACATTTRACCCATTTGRTCTCTGACTYCTGAACGYTCTTGTTCATAGCTGGATCCAAAAAACCGCATCAGAGCGAAACAGGCCCTACAAAGTTCGTACTTTAGTGGTTTGCCAGACGAGGTTTACACYATAAGTGATGGTTAGTCAATGCCGTTTGCTTCTCGCAACAGTTAATGTATCTCTAAAAGTGTTTGTGTTTGTGTATGTGATTACAGAAGAATCCATATTTAGCGTCACTGGTGTAGAATTCACTAAGGAACCAAGCTGATTTTAACAGGTAATAAAGATGATAATTTAATCGCTTTTCACCCGTACGTAAAGCTAACAGTTTTTCCTTGTCAAAAAGAGTTGGCCTAATACACGTGAAATAGACCACAGAACCTTTTACGTCGTGTACCGTATACGCAATGCATTGTAGGATATGTCTGGGACAAAATATGGCGGATTTCTTTTGCTTTCTCTAGAAACTGATCTCAAAAAGCTTTGAAAATAAAGTAGTGCGTAAAAGGTTCAGAAGTCTATCGTCTAGACTTTCTCAAAGTCCAATTATCAGTGTCCCAACAGTGCGGTCGACTTGTCGCTCGCGCTCAAGTCTTCGGCGTTCGTCTCGCGACTACGTCGCTCGAATTATCAGTGTCCCAACAGTTTGGTCGACTTGTGGCAAGTCTATCTATCGTCTAGTTAGGGTGTTTTTTAGCTTGTGTTCATTTTAGTCAGGTTGCGCAATGTATCATGGATACTTCAGTCTGTCTTTCGCTCTCTTGAACGAAATAGCGATGCTACAACAACAAACTGACTTGTCCATCGTTTGAAATAAAATAAAAATCCTTTTTGAGTAGATTTACATGCCACTGTTTGTAGAGGATTCACAATTTTAGTTTTACCATCATGCTGACAAATCAATCGAAGCTAATGAGCTATTTTACTTATTTCTCTTTCCAGAGACGYGAGTACCATCTCATTAGAGTTACCATGCCAACAGGAAACAGATGAATTAGAACAGATCTGTACCACTCAAACTCTGACACAACGTATAACAACGTCATGAAGGAACTCCTTGATTTCGGAGGATTGGTTCTTGGACGTGGTTCTTGGAGACAAGGAGTAAGATAGGACGAAGGTAGAATGTTAGGTAATAAGTAATGTTAACCAATCAAGAGATAGAGAATTTAGGTCCAGTGAATACGATTTTAGTATAGTCGTTTTGTAAGCGATCACTCTGCGTAAACGGTAGTGTCTCGTCCACAACAAAAAGGCCTATATAGACGTTGATTTTTGTGAGCGTTTCCATAAAATGCAACCTGAAATCACAGTGTGGACAATACTTTGAGTATCAGGACCTCTGGACTGATGAGGAGAGAGGCCTTTCCTGCCTAACTTAGGGCCTGATACTAAAGTGTGTGCAGATTTTTAGTCGTTTACAACCGGCCGTTTACAAAGCTTTGACTTGTGGCTCTTGGAATCTTACAACCTRTACGACAACGGCTTATCTTCAAAAAATATATCCACAGCTCCAAGTAAGATAACTTAATTTAGAAGGTTAGAACAGTAGATTTTGGTACCCAAGCTATTGTAGAATAAAATGGGCGTTAATTTATTTTTATAAAGCGCGCTGGTTCGTGTTAGTTAATATAAAGTTGCTATATATATCATTGATGCATTATGCATATAGTTAGCGCGCAAAGAAGATAGATGATATGTAATATAATATTTTCATGATTGATTATAATGCATGCTGGGAGAATTACTCTCATTCTCCTCAATTTTTAGTTCTGTAAATCTCTTTTTAATTGGAGATATATAGACTGTAGAATACTCCAAACCGATTCTGTATGACTACATTGTCATTTGTGTAAAGCTAAGAAAATGATATGTGGAGTTTCTGTTTATATACATCGTGATAATTCATTGGCGGATCCACCTTGTGGAAATATACTAGTCGTGCACACGTTTTCCTAAGTGAAACATTGTACTCTTCAATACTTTCTGATATTTGTTCCAATGTATTTGTGATGATTTTTGTGGCTTGCTCCGCTCCCTGAAGAAAGTCTTGGATCCCGGGTAGATAAGGTTTTAATCATGGAGTTTTGCAGTCGTTTGGGGTACATTATTTGCGCTGCGTTAATTGGAAAAAAAAAACAAGTCGTACTTCTAGATTATCCAAACAAAACGTCCCATCATGCATTGCCAACCGACATAAAGATAGTAGAACTCAAGGCCATCGTAAKACGTACAGGAAAAACAACCGAAAGAAAATATAAGCATATGATCACCCGAGGTCTTTGGAACTAGAATCTATTTTTATCCGCCAATAGAGCTGCATTCCCAAGACCTGCAAATCAGAATATCGACTTTATCTTTAGCCTGCGTAGCGGCACAAGACGATTAGGGAGACTCCTTAGGTAGACTAGAAAATCTTGAGATAAGAGTGT